GGAACACTTTGTCCATTAACCTCTGGTAGGTCGCCTCGGCGTTCTTTAGTCCGAATGGCATGACTTTGTAACAAAAGTTGGCGTTCTCGGTGATAAACGTCGTCTTCTCTTTGTCGGCTGGGTGCATCTTTATCTGGTTGTATCTGGAATATGCATCGAGGAAGCTGAATACAGAGTGCCCGGATGCCTCGTCGACGAGTCGGTCGATGCAGGGGAGAGGATAGGCGTCTTTAGGGCAAGCTTTGTTGAGGTCGGTGTAATCGGTGCATATTCTCCATTTCCCGTTCGCCTTTTTGACTAACACTACATTGGCCAGCCAGGTGGTGTAGGTGACTTCTCTTATAAATTTGGCTTGTAGTAATTTTTTCACCTCGGCGTTTGCTGCCTTTCGCTTCTCGTCACCCATCTTTCTTTTCTTTTGTGCAACCGGTCGTGCGTCTCGGCATACAGCCAGTCGGTGGCACAAGAACTTGGGATCTATGCCTGGCATGTCTGATGTCATCCATGCGAAGAGGTCCCAGTTGTCTCGGACCACACACTTGACTCGGTTTGAGTCGATCTCGTTTAATTGGGATCCCATGTTTGTGACCTTTTTGAGGGCTCGGCCAAGTTGAAAAGGAATGAGGTCCTCAGCTGGCTCAATTCGCTCTTCTTCACCCAATCGAGGATCGAGGTCAATGTCCTCCGTCATCTCTTGTCTGACCACATTGACACCTCTCGTGGTCGTCGGGGGGTTGGCAATAGGTCGCACCTTCAAGCTAGAAAGGTAACACTCTCTTGCTGTCTTCTGATCGGCGTGAATGGTGATTACCTGCCTGTCCCTTGATGGGAAATTCATGCATAGGTGAGGGGTCGAGACATTGGCCCCCAATGCATTGATAGAAGTTCGGCCTAGCAAGATGTTATATGATGTACTCGCATGCATGACGATGTAGAGAATTTTGATCTCGCGGGAAGATTTTTGGTCGAAACCAAAGTGAGTGTAAAGTCAATGCACCCTCTTGTCATCACTCTTTCACCTGAGAATCCTACCAGCGGTTCATGGTATGGTTCTAGGCTCTCCTCTGGGATCCCGAGTTGCACGAAAGTGTTCCAATATAAGATGTCGGCGGAGCTCCCCTAGTCGATCAAGGTCTTCTTCACAATGCAATTGTGCATTTCGACAGAGATTACCATGGGGTCGTCCTGAATGGGATCGACCCCTCGGAAGTCTCGGTCGAAAAAGGTTATTTATGGCATCTTTGGTGTCCTCGGCTGGTTCACACTATTTATTGATCACACTGCTCGGAGGTGAAGCCTCCAGCGATGGTGTTTATTATCTTCCTTGGTCGATCATTGTCTTCTCGGGAATGTCGTGAGTGGTCTCTCCTTTCAGCTGACCGGGATCGACGGCGTCGGTCTCTCGTCGGTGGTGCTTCCCGAGAGTGGTGGTCTCTCCCCCTTGACTGTTGATTTTGAGGGGTGACGAAGCTCGTGAGGTGACCCTGTTTGATAAGGTCCTCAAGCTTGTCTTTTAGTGCCGAACATTCTTCCGTCGAGTGCCCCCTGTTTCGGTGGAATCGACACGTCTTGGTTTTGTCGGCTCTAGGGGGCATGTTCGCCCTTTTCGGCATCACAAGGATCTCTGATGCAAGGGCCTGTTCCATTACTTTAGCCCTACTCGCGTTGAGGGGGTGTATGTTGTGTAGCGTGGTCCCCTTGGGGGGCGAACATTCGTCTTTCTCATCGGCTCTCAGCCAGCTTCTTTTCGGCTATAACCCTCCTCGGCCCTAGCTTGATTTCGGGTCTCTGCCAGCTCTTCCATTTGCATATACTTTTCGGCTCGGCGTTAGAGATCATTCATATCAATGGGCGGCTTCTTGCACAAGCTATTCACGAATGGCCCCGGCCTGAGGGCAGTGCTCAGCCGATCCATCGCCACGACCGGGTTAAGGTCGCCGATCTCCATGGCGATCTTGTTGAATCAGTCCATGAAACTTCTCAAACTTGCTTTCTTCTCTTGACGAACCCCCGCTAAGGCTAACGAGGTCGTCTTGTACGGTTTGCTCGTCGCGAACTGGAGAGTGAATTGGGATGACAACTTGTTGAACGAGTCGATAGAAGAGCTCGGCAACTTCGTGAACCAACTCAGAGCTCTTCCTTTCAGCGACGTGGGGAAAATCCGGCACAGGGCGGAGTCGTCTTGAGTGGAGAGGGTAGCTTGTGTTAGAAAAACATTCAAGTGCTCTTCGGGGTCGGTAGACCCATCGTACTTCTCGATTGGGAGGCTCTTCCAATGGTCCAACAAGGTTGCCTCCATTATCCTTCGGGAGAATGGATGCCTTAGGGAGTGAGTGGCGAAGTCGGTTTTGTTATCTATCAAAGAGGTAATGGGTGTTCGGGTCACATGGTCAGTTGGGGCATGATATGCCGACTCCTCTTGGAGAGTGGGAGTTGACGGCACGTAGGTTTGGTTAAGACTTCGGAGTTTGGCGTTTTGTCAGCGCAGTTCGGCCAACTCCCTGGCGTCGGCTTCTCTTTGTCTTCGGATGGCTGCCATCTCCTCACGCAATGCGCGTAAGTCATCGTGGAGGTCAGGTTGGGTTCCGTCAGTGTTCGGCCGGACCTCTTGTATCACAGGTTCCGGTTGTGTCTGAGGCATGCCATACGGGTATCGTTCTTGGCCGGCCATGACAGGATTGTTCTCGGTATTAGGGATCGGTTGAGTCGATGTGGATGGTCCTTTGCGTGTTACTACCATGTCTCGGTCTCAGTCGTAGAGTTCAAAGGGGCTGAAAACGTCTCTTCGGCCCCACGGTGGGCGCCAAATGTTCCTGTGTTAGGATACACACTTCAATTATCCTTGTAGTAGCGGGTTAGGTCCTAGGTCTCGGTCTTCTCGTTCCTATCCGGGTAGTCCGATGTGAGGGGAGGGTGCCTGCAAAGACACTCCAACGCTCAAGTAAGTGCTCAGCGTAATAAATGCGGTAGTTGAAAGATTAGTTACATACCTCATTGAGGTCCTATTTATAGTGATTCTTATGGGGCCGTGATTAAGGATTGGGCCCCGGAAAATTAGGGGGTTAATCTGGTGCATTACGTAAATTAACCTCTCCATGATCATCCTGGCGTAAGTACGGATTTGGGCCGAGCACACCGACATGTTATGTTCATATTAAGAGTGGTCGGTGGACTCAGTGTACTCTGTCTGATCATTGACGGACTCGGGTATTCGACCTAATCAACCGTGGGCTCAGGTATTCGGTTTGGTCAGCCACCATACGGTATAGAAGTGCTTAGGATTTTCCTTGTAAGATTTTGTATTAATTACTTAGTCATTTTCTATATTGATCAATGTGTTCTACACAACTGTTTTTGAAATGTACCCATTACTTTTTCTCTTTAGATTTCAATACCAACATATGTGAAAATGGTTCCTAATTTGAAAATCGTAGATAATAATTGTAACAACATTTACTCGATTGGTTCTAACTTCATAGAACCTAAATTTCACAATCTTTATTTTTCACACAATACATGTTTTGGTAAACCTTTTTTAAAAAACAACCAGGTGTCATTTTTATTTTTTTTGGGTGTTGTAGGTGTCTTTTAATAAATAAAAGAATTTCCATTACTTTTTGGTTTATTTTTAATTTTATTTTCCATAACTATTGACAATTATAATTATTATATACTAATTATTTTTTATTATATTATACTAGTAATATAGAGGTACTCCGTGTCTTTATATTTTATTTAAAAATTTAAAAATAAAATAAAATATAAATTTAAATAATAAAGGTAATTAAGTAATAAGAATAATAGAATGACTAATTACTAAAAGATAATGATAGTTATTAAAAAATATTAATTTTTTTAATTTTTTTTAATAATAGAGGTATATAATGATCAACTAATTAAATATAAAGATCAAGATTTTTATTGAAAGAGTTATCATTTTTATATATTAGTATAAATTTATATTATTCATTAGACTATTTCAAAGTCGATCATTGGACTAGTCTATCTGGCCCACCAAGCCAAATGAGTTGGACAAAATCTCTAGCTTACATTTAAGTAATTATTTTACAACCTCAACTTGACCTTATTGATGGGGTGTTTCGGATGGCCTGGCTCATTGAGCTTTAATTAATAGATCTAGTTGAAAGCATTAAATTAAACAACACATCATAAAATTGAGAAAAAAAATAAGAAAGATAATTAAAAATTATAGTTATATATTATAACTTCAAAGAAATATAAAGTAAATAAAAATAACACTAATAATAAATGTAAACATTACTAATAAAATTAATATAAAAATTAATAATAGACTGATAAAATTTAAGAAAATATATTACTAAAATAATAATAATAATAATAATATAAAATATAAATGGTAGAAAAGTAATATTATAAAATAATAGAGCATAATAAAAGGTCACATAATAACAAATTATTATCATAACAATAAAATACTATTATAAAATGAAAAATGAAAAATTCTAAACAAAAAAATGTTTACACTTATGCATTTCATATGTACCAAGTTTAGTTATTAATATATATTTTTATATATTCATATTATTCAATAGAAATCTGAGACATTAAAATAATTTTTGAAATACTACTTTCATCAATATTTTAAATTAAAAATATTTATTTAAAAAAAAATTAGCTACTAAAAACTGTTATTTAATACTTTTTGGGATTCAAGGGATAAGAACAAATTTTTGAATAAAAAAAGTGAAAATAAAAAGTAAAAGAAGTTTCTAATAAGTTCCTAGTACTTATATGTAATTGAATATATGTATTCACATATTATTGATTAATGATAATAAAAATATTAAATCAGGTTGATTATAACATACACCAAAAGAATAATCACTAGAGGTAGATAATGCTCATTTTCCCACCTTAACTATTCCACAATCTATTATTTTCCCTGTATTAGCTTTTGCCATGCCTTGACTTAAGGTCACACCACACCTTTTTCCTACATAACATCACACAAATTCTGTCTCATTAACCTCCACAAAAATCACGTACTTTCTCCTCCCTTTGAGTGTTGTTGCTTCTTCTGCACATCACCTTCTATTTGCAGAAGAAGTACCTTTATTCATCATTCCAATGGGGTTTCAAAACATTGAAACCCCACGAGAAGACACGCCTCTTCTCTCTAATGCACCTATTCTCTCCTCAAAATTCAAGACCTTTGCCAATGTCTTCATATCTATTGTGGGTTCTGGCGTGCTTGGCCTTCCTTATACCTTCAAGAAAACAGGTTGGCTAATGGGTTTGCTTATGATTTTCCTCGTTGCATTCCTAACTTACTATTGCATGATGCTCCTCGTCCACACTCGTCGCAAGCTTGAATCCATTGTGGGGTTTCCTAAAATCAACTCTTTCGGAGATTTAGGGTATGCCATTAGTGGCCATGTTGGAAAATCATTCATTGATGCCATGATCGTGATTTCTCAATGTGGTTTCTGTGTCGGATACCTTATTTTCATTTCCACCACTTTGGCCCATCTCGCTAGTAACACATCAACATCGTCCTTATTTTTGGGTTTCACACCAAAGGTCTTGTTTCTATGGAGTTGTTTTCCCTTCCAATTAGGGTTGAATGCAATCCCAACTTTGACCCATTTGGCTCCTTTAAGCATTTTTGCTGATGTTGTTGATATTACAGCCAAGAGTGTGGTGATGGTGGAAGATGTGTTTGTGTTTATGAAGAATAGACCTCATTTGGAGGCTTTTGGGGGTTGGTCTATGTTTTTCTATGGTTTAGGTGTGGCTGTGTATGCATTTGAAGGGATAGGAATGGTTTTGCCGTTGGAATCAGAGGCCAAGGATAAGGACAAATTTAGTGGCGTTCTTGGTTTGGGAATGTTTCTCATTTCTCTATTGTATGCAACATTTGGTGCTTTGGGTTACTTTGCTTTTGGGGAACAAACTCAAGGGATTATTACTACCAATCTGGGACAAGGAGTGGTAAGTGCTTTGGTGCAATTAGGCCTTTGCATCAACTTATTTGTTACTTTTCCATTGATGATGAATCCTGTTTATGAGGTGGTTGAGAGACGATTATGTGACTCTAAATATTGTTTGTGGCTAAGGTGGTTGTTGGTGTTGGGGGTATGTTTGGTGGCACTTTCGGTGCCTAATTTTGCAGATTTTTTGTCATTAGTGGGCAGTAGCATTTGTGTCATTCTTAGCTTTGTGTTGCCTGCTTTGTTCCATTATTTGGTGTTTAGAGAGGAGATGAGTTGGAGTTGTATATTGTGGGATGGGGCAGTAGTGGTTTTTGGGTTGGTTATTGCAGTGACAGGAACTTGGTCCTCGTTAATGGACATTCTTGCCTCCAATGCTTGATTAGACAAGAAAACTTCCTATTACCAACCACTTAATCATGAGTTTGATTAAGTTGAGATTTTTTTTTCCTTATGGAGCAATGGAAATTTTTGCGTTTTTTGTGTAGTTTTTTTGGACGAAGCGATGGAGGTTAATTTTTACTTAATTGGGTAATCAATTGCATTTGACGCAATTCTTAATTGTGGAGTGTTTGCAAAAATCGATGATGATCCATATAAGTCAACCTATATTTCTTTTCTTTGCATGTTATTTTTGTTACAACTCTAGAATTACTTTCTTGGCATCAGAACTACAAAAGTGAACGAAAGAGAATTCAACTAGTTAGATATTGAACTTTAATACTCAAGAAATATTTCATTTTATATTTATCCTTTTCAACATAGTACTTATTTTTATATTCGTATATATATATATATATATATATATATATATAT